GACACTTTCAAAGAGGTGGTGTGAACGCACAGTTTCTTTCTGCAGACCTTGTTTTGGATAGTTTTCTTTGCACAGGAATGAAAGGAATTCAATCCTCGGCTCTCCTTTGAATCCGTCTCAAACCGAGGTATTTGTGATCAGCGAGAACACACTAAACATGTAAGAAGAGCTTTTCCATGCTGAATTTTTTTTTTCTTTTGGAAGACATTTATCAGACACCTGCTTCGTTACCTGCTAGATGGAGCGGAGCGTGGCAGCCCACCATGCCTCTCAACCTAATACTAATATGGATTTTTATGATTTTTTTTTTCTTTCCTAATGTGCTGAAATTACAGCATTAAGTCCATGTTTGTTCCAGCTTCTAGTTGCTTTGAGTGTTCCGCCTGTCCATTTTTGAAACTCTCCCCTCTTGATGTGGTTTTAGTGGGGGAGTGACAGCCAGCAAAAGCAGCACATTAAGCAGAATCGCAGCGACGGCATTAGTCCTCCATCAGTGTCCACACAGAGGCGATTCAAGCGGAGTGTTTAAAGTATGTTTGGAAATGTTTTGGCTGCGCTAAAAGCAAAACTATCAAATGGGCAATAATGGAAGAGGGAATGTAGATTAAAGATGCTGTTCTGTAGCCACCTGGGTTTGTTAAAGGGCCACATTTCCTCCATTAGATGAAACTAAATACTAACAATCCTAATGTGCAAAAGTTTTTAAACCCCCTTCATTTCCWTTAGATTCTGTTTCCAAGCACACCGACTTTGTTGTAATTCTTTTAAGATSTTTTGATCAATAACGCTTCAGGCTTTCGGGAGATCTTTCAAAGTTTATTTTTAAACTTTAAGGGCAAGCAAAGGACAAAAAGAGGGGTCAAGCCCTAACAAAGCTATCCACAGCAGATAAATAGTGTCTAAAACGAATGTCTTTTGGAAACAGAAAAGAAAATCCAGCAAAGATCTGAAACAAAACCTGAAAGATTCATCATTCTTCAGCTGATCATCTGTTGCATGTCAACGTTTTAAAATATGTTTATTATTAATTAATTCCCTGGAAACATTGGTTCATCTCTTGTGTTTCAAATCCTTTTATTATCTTTGAATAGTTTATAGCAGCCAAAGTCCAAAGAAAATTTTGGTGAAATTTTCAGAAAGTCTAAATATCAAAGGTTTTTAGGATATCTGAAAAGTTATGAGATATGACTCTTTACTGCAGGACAAAATCTCCTTATATGGAGAAACAAACTCTGATTTTTGATGAGTTGTCACTCTATTCCCAAACTGCCTTACAGTGGTAAAATATTCGCCTGTGGACTTGATGAAGAGAATAGAAGAACTGGAGTCAGGTTTAGTCTGAGATCAGGTCCAAGTGTTGTGTAAAGTGTAAAGTGGTCTCTGCTGATTCCCCGAACTCTTGACTAAACAATTTTGAGCTAAAACTGCCCCGCCATCTTGTTTGATTGTGCCRTAAAGTGTATTGTTTTTATTTATTGTATTATTTTTTAAACTCGTGTCCCAAGGAGACTGTCTGTCTGCATTGATCCTCGGTGTGATCCTTCTGGTTATTGTGCTGAAGTGGTCAGAGGTAAATGCTGTTTTAATGAAGTCTGAGCATTGATTTGACTCTGGTGTTTGTGGAATTTGAGCATCAACTGAAAGCTGCGTAAACAAGATAATCAGGTTTGATGGTGTGTTTTTTTTTCTCCTTCCTCTGAACAGAAATAATTATCTTTTTTTGTCGGGATGAAAACATTTGCATAYGGAAATCCTACCACCCCCAATGCTCAAACATGAAGATGGCAAGATTTGTTGAAAATAATTTAATCTAATAAAGAAAACATTTTCGCTGCCAAAAACATATGCCACACTGTGTTGTGAAGATTTAAACAGAAATTTGGATTTCYCCGGCCTTGAATTCATTTTTTTGTAGTTCTGTAGTCCGTGTTTGACACTTAATTTGTTCTGTATTAACTCAAATGCAAAGAAACTGCACCCTTAGCCTTACACAAGGAGCACTTTATTCTGAACTGACTCCTGAGATGCATCTTATGCTTGTAAAACTAATGAAGCACACATCTAGTGGATCTCCAAATGTCAAACATCGCACTTCAAACCACCCCCCCCCCCCCCTGAATTTTTCTGAGTGGAGTCAGAGTCCTCACAACGAGAGGGTCTCTTACTCCGAGTTAGCAGATGGTTTTCAGACCTTCTGCCTTTTTCTATGCAACTTCAACAAACCAGGCAATCTTTAAAGTGGATTCTTTCCCCCATCAGCTCTGTAGTGTGTTATTGAGCTTTGGCCTCTGTACAGCAACAAGTTTACAGAGGATAAAAAGCCTGAAGGGGTTCATCACTAAGCCGAGACATTACAGTGATCTGCCTTTTTTTTAATTTACTCATCTTTTCAGGTATTAGTGTGACTGGATATAATGAAGGCCCAGCATGCCTTGAAGGAATTCAAATCAAAATGGCGGAGTTAATTTGGCTTGATGGATGTGAAATGTCACTCTGAGTATGTACTGTAAATGACTTTCAAATATTACCACAACAAATATAAACTCAATACCTTAAATTGGCAAAATATTGCTGTATTTCTGTTGGCTATTGAAATTAAATTGTGGCCACCATATTGGATTGGAATGAATCTAAAAGTGAATCAATATGTATATATA